CTGTTAACTGTGATCCTCCACCCCACTATCCACGTTTTAGAAAGGGTGGAAAGAAGGTAAGACTCTTACTGGGGATGAGAGGATTGTTAGTTGTATCTAGAAAGCTGTGAGGCTGTGGGAGGTCAGATTCTAAGGTAGGGTTGGAATAAAGATTAATAAATAGGAGTAGTGTGTAAAAGGATAGAGACAATCCCCACAATAGTATAGTTGAGGAAATTGCAAAGTGGGCTGAGATCAGGTAGGGGTAGTGAGTAGTAGTTACAATTGTATGAACTAGGTCTTATTAACAGTAATAGTAAAGCAACAGTCTTGTGGCAGAATCGATGAGATTTAGGTAACAAGAATAAAGAGTATAGGACCTTGAGAGGTGTATTAATGGAACACACATGAAGGATAGTAAATTATCAACACACTGTGACTGAGATACCAGGGGGAACCTATCAAATTACAGTATAACCAGCCAAGCAAAGAAGATTATACAGAAAGAAAAAGAATACCAAAATACTATTAAAATAAAAAATGTCAGAAAAGTGAGAAAAATATAATACAAATTTACAGTAACTTGCAAGTTCAAAAAAAAAAAGCAGAAGATGGAGTACAGGAGAGATAAATTTGGAGTGGAAGGAATAATACTAGGATGAATGGAAGAGAAACATAAGGGATTGTGAGATATAAAAATAATAAGAATTGAAAAATAAAATGTCACTTAAAACACAAGATAAAATCAACCAACAACAGCCACAAAAACCAAACCAAACCAAAGAAAACAAAACAATACAAAACAAAAAAAACCTCTGGTTGGTTTCTAACTAGCCAGACCAGTTTTTCTGATCTTGCTGGCTTTAGCTGGCTGAGGGACCTTTGAAATGCTTATCACTCTTCCCAGCCAAATCTCAGTAAGTCTCTCAGGTACCCTGGGCGCTCCCAAGCACACTCGCTCTCCAGAGCTCACTACTGCATTCTTCCAGACTCCGGGGTCCCTGCAGGGTTCCAGCTCTATGATCTCAGGATGCACCCACAACGTTTTGGGATTCACTGTGCCCTCTCTGGGAATCGTAAAAGGGCGTGCCCATCCACCAAATTTTTGAGTTTTGGGCTCTAGGAATGCCCTAAGTGCCGCGTCCCTTCCGGGTTCATAGCGTGAGAGTCAGGATTCCCGAATGGGTGCGCTTCCACAGTTCAGCACCGCAGACTCCAGAAACCTGAGAACGCCCGTGCCTTTTCCTGGATCAGGGCTGGGATGTCTGGGTTTTCCACTGATCCACACTCCCACCGGGCTAGGGGTGCGGGTGCTCTTCCAGGCCGCCCCTGGTCGTGCTGGCTGGAGGCACTCACTTCACTCACCTCTCCCACGGCTCTGGGTGGGTGTTCACAGACCCTGGGTGATTTTTTCCCCCCAGTCCAACTGGCCTCTCTGTGCCTTCAAGCACCAAGTTCTCCCCTGTTATTGCTCAACCCCTGTATTCGGGGGAGGTAGCAGCGACTCCCCTGTCCCGGGGGACCTGAGGCAGACCCGGGAGCACCGGGCCTGGGGACTGCAACCCCCCTGGTCCCCACACTGATCCCTGAGTCCCTTTTGTCCTGAAGCAGTCTCCTTACCGTCTGGTTTTTCAATGATCGCAATAATTTTTGATGTCCTGCTTTCAAAAATGATTCGGTAACCTAGGCCACTTGCTCTCTTTCTCCACCTATCCGAGAGTTTCCCTCCTCTTCACAGAAGCCGAGAAACATGCTGCCTAGAGTAAAGCCACCATCTTTTCTCCCCGCAACCTTGTTTTCTAAATGGCATGTAAGTTTTAAGTATTGGAAAATCAGCATGACTGTTAACCTAGTCGCAGAAAACAAAGTCTTACCTCTCGGGGGGGAAGATTTTTGTACTGAATTACTATTTTGATGTCATCAAAGCAATGTCTAAAATATGAATTCCCAGAGGTAGTAAAACTTAATTAATTAGGACTTTACTGCTTTACAGCATGTAAAAACAATAATTAAATAGAAGTTTAAAAAATTTTAGGGAAACTAGCTACTTCAGAGAGGAAAGCCTTGCCCTTTGAAAGGGTTGTTTGCTTACTTACAGTGTAATTGCAGTAGACATGAACATCTTGATACTTTGAGTGAATGTGGGAATATTTGTATGATTATGTGCTAAGCACTGCATCCTAATATTTTTGATAGGCTAAAAAAAGTTACAAGACTAGGGAGGTTAGCAAAATTGTATTTCTCACTAAACATTCTACCATTCATGTGTCCTTCCCTTGGTTCCAGTTAATGAAGTTGTATTATTTACATTTCATTCTGTGGGTTGGGTTTATTTTCTAATAAACACCAAGAAGAAAATTGGACTTTTTTAAAAATTGCATTGGAAAATTTCATTGAAACATTTAAGTAAATACTTTCATTATTTTATTTAGAATAAAGTAACTTTTTATACTATTGTAGTTTATTTGGAAAATCACTTTTGTAATAAAAATGGTAAACATATACTTGTAGTATGTAAAATTTACAACAATGAGGGGAGACCCCCCAAAATGGAGTTTATTTATAAAAAAATTGTATATGTATTCTTACATGCTTAAATTTCAGTCACCTTCAAAGCACACTCCATTTAATGTAATACACCTATCAAGAGATTTTTTCCACTGCTCAAAACAGTTTTTGAACTCACTGATTTGGATGCTAAAAAGTGCTTCTGCCATTTTTTGTTTCACTTCTTCCACATCCGCAAATATTTCCCTTTGAGGACTTTTTTCATTGGGTGAGATTGGGTGAATAGGGATGATGATGCACAGAGGTCATGCCATTTTTGGTCAAAAACTCCTGAACACTCAGTATGGTATAGGAAGGTGTGCTTGTAAATCACCCATCATGAAATGGGCAAACACGTGAGTCTTCAAAATTCACTGAAGCTGAATGTAGCTCTCACAACAATGCTAGCTGGCACACTGACACAGTTGGGTTCCTAGAACACTCACCTAGTAGGGGAAGGCTGTACTATAAGGGGCCCATCCTGCAGAAGATAATTCTGGGTTTTGGGGGTGTCCCCCCTCATATATATGCTCTAATTTTTCATCTTCAGGCATTACATTATACACAATGTTATTATAAAAGTAAAACTTTAATTTCTCTGGTCTAGGCAGTATTTGATAATCAGTATTGTAAGTGATGGTGTATTTAATTATCAAATAAATCCCAAAACTTAATTTTAGTATATATATTCCTAAGAAGCTTTGAAAGGGGTATATTTACTTGATTAAAACCTTTGTATATTATAAGTCTTTGAATGCTTATGTTTAGACTTTAACTTGAGAAGATAAATTGGAATGTGTTTGAATGATAGTATTTGTTCTAGTCTTAAATTAATACCAAGTGGTTTTGAAATAAATTGTGCTGCAATGAAAAAAACCTGGCCTGCTCTACTTTTTTAAAGATTAATCTTAAAATCATTTTGCCAAGTAAAAGAAAGTCCCATCAGAATTTTTATTGTAATTGAATTATTTTATAAATTATTGATGCTTCTGACTTTAAAATTGGCCATCCTGGAAGAGGAAGTATGTTTTTCCAAATTTGTAATATTCAGACTGAATCAGTTACTCATTTTTTTACATGTTTAGGATCTGTGAGGCAAAGACAGAAATATTAGAACTTAAATTTTAAATGGGTACCTGAGGAAGAAAGACTGTACTGTAGAAGGAAAGGAAGGCTGTGTATTTCAGAGAATTATAAAGTTGGGAGGTCAGTCTCTTACAGGCATTCTTTTAACTAGCTCTCCATCCTCCTGCTTGGAGTAAACCACCTTACAAGGTAGTGCCTTCGTTTATACACAACTCTTATTTTTAGGAATTCCATTGTGTTGAACCAAAGTGCATACAAGTGTAATTTATGCCATTGCTTGCAGTCTCCAGAAAGGAAAGGAAATTTGCTTCTCTAGTACTTGGCCACCCCTGAGATATTTAAAGACAGATAAAACTTTTATCCTGACTAAACATCCTTCAAAAGTGGTTTCCTGTCCTGGCTGGTGTGGCTCAGTGGATTGAGTGCTGGCCTGCAAAGGGTCACAGGTTCAATTCCTAGTCAGGGCACATGCCTGGGTTCCAGGCCAGGTCCCCAATAGGGGGGCACATGAGAGGCAGCCACACAATGATGTTTCTTTCCCTCTCTCCCTCCCTTCCCCTCTCTCTAAAAATAAATTAAACCTTTGAAAAAAATAAAAAGTGGTCTCCAGGTTTTTCTTCATTCTTGTTACCTGTAGTGTATTAGTTTGTCAGGGTCCTTCCTCAAATGCCCTCTTAACCTAAAATAATATAATTTCAAACAATAGAAATAAAATTGTGTAAAAAGAAACTATACAAAATAACAGTGGTAGATCACTCACCGGAGAATGTGTTTCTCTGGTTAGTTTTCCTTCCATCATCCAGTTTACCATGCACTTAGCTCTAGTGTAGGTAAGTTCAAAGTATTTGGGTTCTGCATTTAAGGAAGTATTCTATTTTTAAATCCTTCTGTGTTGAAATTATTTTGTACTCCTTTGCTTAGTATATTAGACTTTCAGGATTTGAATACCAGATTTTCTTCCAAGATACTTTCACCTCTCTGTGACTCAGTTTCCTCTTCTATAAAACGGGGATAATATATAGTATCTACCTTGGGTCAATACATATTGCCTGATATGTGGTAGCTGTGGGTTTCATGGGTAGTGACCTCATCATCACTACCAAAGCTACTTGTTTTACTTTGGAAATATACTCTAACACCAATTCGGATGGTATCATATTTTTATGGCACCTTGCTGATCAGATTAATGTTGATTAGGCTAATACTGGAAAGCATCTCATACTACATGTGACTTGACTGTCTGGAATGGGTTGCCATTTTTACACATAAGTTTTATTTAAAATTTTTTGTAATTTGTTGCTTGAATTATAATCTCTCAGTAATCGTGTTCATTTAATTGAAGTTCAGAATATGCCAACTGACTAAAGGTTTTTGTTGCTTTGTTATAGAAATGGACAGGAGCAACCTTCAGCACGGAGGACCCATCTCTTAATGTATTAGCCACTGATCGCAGCATGGACAGAACTTTGAGTCAAAGGACAGTATTTTTTAATTTAGCACATAGTTTGTACATTTGAAAATAATGTACATTCTTTTACCTTTCATGTTCTGATTTGATATACAAAGGGCTAAGATATTTAATCTGAGAGATTTTTTTATTAGTGTCATATTTACCTACCAAAGTGTATCATTTACAATAAATAAGGTTATTCCAGACTATTTACAGAAGAGACAACTAGGGAAGGCATGCTAATGTCAGGATGGGCAGTGTTTCTAAGTACTAGACTAGCTCCTGTGGTACTATATTAAAAAGGTTAATCCTGTCTCTTAAGGGTGGTTTTATATTAAGCACATTGAATTTAGACTAGTTGAAACAGAACTGTGTAATTAAATTCCGTAAATTGATCACATTGATTTTCCCTAGAGAAAAGACATTTTTTAAGAACATTAAACTTGTAAATAAGATGAAATCAACAGCTTTTTGGCACATTGGTATTATGTATAGATTTCAAAACCTGAGAACACTTTTTCATTGTTGTATTACCTAATGTGTTGTGACACTTTAATGGGAAGTTTGTTCATTTTTTTCAACAAATAAAAATACTAAGAATCTGTATTTCACATGAGCATTAAGTTCTTCATTGCCTTCTTAGGAAATGAAGTAGACAGAGACTGATTTTCTTTGTAAATGGTGAATGTAATAGATTGGGTCCAATTACAATGTAATATTTACAACTAAAGGGGTGAAGGATGGAAACTTTTTGATTGTTGTAACAAAATAAACAAGTAAACAGTTTTATTAATTTTAAAGCAGACTTAGTGACCATGACGTTGTTTAATTATCTTTTTAAAAAATTTTGTTTACTGTTCTTGTAAGTGAAAGGAACATGCAAATATAAAGCATTTGGAGATTAAGTATACAAAATGATTAAATAAAGACACACACCCTGCTTTTCTGTCACTTTGTTAGAGGTGGAATTTGAGGAGGATGAGAGAGAATTAGTTTTTATTTTTTTATTGATATTTTAGGGAGAGATTTGTTGTTCCACTTTATTTATGCATTCATCCGTTCATTCTTGTATATGTCCTGACCAGGGATCTAACCTGCAACCTTGACATTTTGGGATGACACTCTAAAACAAATAAGCTACTCCACCAGGGCTGAGTTATTTTTTTTAGAACTTGAAATTGTAGTCATTTGTTGTTTTGCTTCTAATCTAGTTACTTACATGTATCTTTTTTGTGTATGTGGGTAAAAATAAATGTTTAGTGAGAACATAATATTTTACAAAATTTAAAGAATGTATTCTTAGAGCTGTATCTAAGATATAAAGTTTTAGATGGCTTATTTTTTTTTCAAACTATTCACCACACTTTGACGTAGCTACACATAGTGAACTGAAATACTTAATGAGTAAAGTTTTTTACTGAAGTAAACTCTGGCCAGATTTCAGTTAACAAACGGCCTCAAAGTGTGTTTTCATAACAGTCATCTTAAAATCTGCCTTGTCTGGTGCATTGTGAATAGGAAAAATGTGTCCTTGGTTTTATACCAAGTAAACCATTTCCTTCTTTGTACTTTAAGAAACATACTAGGGAGAAATGCCTTAACATTTTTTTCCAGTAGCTAATGAAGCTGACTTCTAATAGGATAGTATAAGTTCATAATCAGGGACCATCAGATACAGCTTTCCTTAATTCAGAAGTTTGAACACTAAATTGTGAACAGAAGAGATTATAAGACCTGAGGTTTCATCTCTAGAAACATAGATCCTTAACAGCAGGAAAAAAAAATAGAAGAAAAACTCTTCATTCAGTACTTCAAAAGGAAAGTTTCCTTTGGTAGGTATTTTTAAAGATGGTAATAAAATAGGAAAAGAGTTAAATTCTACTAGAATTTGAGTTGAAAACATAAAAGTTGAAAAGTTGCTGGGAATATGGGGAATATTAAGTGAAAAGAGTATACTAAATCAGATTTAGTTATTATTTATGGTAGTATAATCATTTCCCTTCTAATAATTGTCATAAAAGCTGTTCGCAAATAATGTAGAGAGTTTTAACTTGGCAGGTGGCCTGTGAAAAAGGCAGTGTGTCCATGAATGTGAAGCATCCAACGTGGTCCCCTGCCTGCCCATGTGCTGCTTTTGGGTGCCCCTTCAGAAACCAGGAAGGTCTGGAGGAGAGGCGTGGAAACAGCACCATGTCAGGTAATTCCTCTGCGTGCTGTCTTTTAGGGATTCTCAACTATACACCTTTCCAGAAAGCTTGCTCCCTGTAGTTACTGAGGAATGATGACAACAAAAGGCCGAATTGCAGTGCTTCCATCAGCAGTTTGCTCTCTCTCTGGGTGCACCATGACAAAATCTCCTGAAGCGAACCATTGGTCTGACCTCAGTAACAGGGTGGAAGCTTCATGCCTTGGACAACATTTCCAAGAAAGGCTCCAAATAGCTCAGGTATTTTGAAGGAAAAATAATCAGTGAATCTTGGACAATACTAGGCCTTAAATAAATAATAAAGGCCTCTCTGTGTACTTTGGGAGATACTAGCTGACTCAAAGACAGCTGGAATCATAACGATAATACGCCTTCAAGAACAGGTGTGTCCCCATCTGGATGAAGGGCCCAGTGTAACCAAATTTCCCAGTTAAGATAGTTTAATTTGGCAAGTTTCTTCTTTTGAGCACACTCACATTTATTTGTTCAGTGAAAGCTGAGATTAAATCAGTATGTATTTATTACTACCTTGAACATGAGGGAATTGTATGTATTAGTTAAAAGAGTTTCTTTAGACTTGATGTAAACCCTACTTTGTGATACAAAGCACAAGATGTTGGTCTGAACCAAAGTGAGTCTTGTGGCATAAAATGTTGTGCTTCTGTGACACAGTCACCAGTTAGAAAAGCCTCCTTCACCCTTCCTAGTTTTTGAAGTTTTAAAAATACTTAACAAGCATTTCACTTTCAAAAACACTGATACGTGTATTAGTTTAAAAGTGAAATTTTTAGTGTCATAGTCATACCACTAGAAATTGACCAAGTATTAACTTGTAAATTGAGAAAAGTACTACATTAATTTAAAAGTAATATAACACTAAAAAGTCAATCCATTCTTTTTTGATGAGTTGTAGGTTTGTATATTATGGGCTAATGAGAAATCTGGGAACACCATTACTTCTCTGCACTGATTGCAGCATTGTTGAATCCCAGGATTATCCCAGTGCTTTTGGAAGTGGCTTGGGGTTTTTCCTGAAAACAGCAGTGACTACCAAGAGGAGGTAGAAAATGAAATCAGCAAAAATGTCTTTAGGTAGAAGATGTAAGAACTTTAATGAATGTGTAAATAGATCTTCCATTCGTTAGTTTTTCGGATACCCTTAAAATGTGATCTTCAAGGGGTATCACTGAAAATTTTATTTAAAATATTGGGTGGGGCAAAAGTAGGTTTACAGTTGTCATAAGGAAACTGCAGTAACTAAACTGTTTTACAGTTCTTTACACAGACCTGTAAATCTACTTTTGCTCACCCAGTAGGTATGTAATCCCTCATTCTCCATGGGAAGGTGAATCATTACAGAATATATAAGATGGTGTGTGCTGCTTAAAATTACGTGAAAATATACTCAAGAATAAAAAGTGATAACCATTTTTATACCATTTCTTAACATGTTTTAGGTGAATAATACACTGTTAAACAAAACTGTTTGAAATAGTTATATTTTAGGATCCCAAATACTCTTTTTGAAGTAAGTTCTACCTTGTTAGTGTTCTTGTCTTCTTTTTAACAGGTAGTTTGAAGACATTGAAGCAAAAAACTGGAACTAGAAAATCTGGAGAATTCAAGACGTGTTTAAGACAAAAGTTAAATTGAACTCATTTGAGTACACTTAAAAGTTGATTGCACAAAAAAAGGAAAAAAAAATCCATGGAAAGTTCAATGCAGTTACTGAATCCTAGAATTAGTTTCTTGTATTTCAGGTAAATTTTCCTCTGCTTTTAAACCTGTTTAATGAAGAACCTTTTGCTGATGTTCTAAATATAAATCTTGAATCAGGTTTAAGTATTATGTTGTGTAACTATAACTACTATTCTCTGTAAGCTATTTGAAATAAATTTGAAAGCCTTTCCTCTTTCAAGAAAACACCAATATTGTGATCTTGAGATGATCAGCAGCCATCACTCTATTAAGAGTCCATGTCTGTGAATTTGCCTAAAATTTATATGTAACCTGAAAATCAGTATGGGCACTACTTTTTTAGTTGTTTGTGGACATATACAGAGCAGTAAAAATTCTGAGTTGCCTGACATACATGCTGCAGTCTAGGAAGATTCTTGTTTCAGCTCTCAAACTGTCAACATGTGACCTTTTAATGATCTATTTACTGCTCCAGTTTGTACTTTTTGTCTGTGGTTTCACATTTTAAAATGGCCCCCAAGTATAGTGGTTAAGTGCTGTCTACTGGTCCCAAGCACAAGGTTGTGATGTGCCTCACAGAGAAAATGTATGTTAAATGAACTTGGTTCACGCACGAGTTCCAGTGCTACTGGCCATGAGTTTAATGTTATCAGAGGATCAGGAGCCTAAGGAGGGTTGCTTCCAACAGTGGCAAGTGGTTGAAACTTTGCCATTCCAAAAGTATTTTTGAATAATGAACCTTTTCCCCCATTGCTAATATGCAAAAAATAGTAATGCCCACTTTAAGATAGTGAGAGAAAATCAAGTTCATTGCCATCACTTCAGATGTCTGATGATGCTCCTCTGTTACATCAGCTTGGGTCCTTACTTTAAGCAAATATACTTATAAATCCTTTATTTTTATAAGGTTACCTAAAATAAAATTTGTTATAAATCTAGGAGTACTACTTTTTTGCCAATATTGTAAGATTGGAAACTACTAAGCTAGGTTTTCTTACACTTTTGCTGACAATTAGACTGGAAGGTAATTCCTATTGAACAGATTACTTCATTATAAGTATGTGCTTGAAAATATCTCAGTACATAAAGAGCTTTTCAATTTCTTCAAGAAAAAATATTCAGATAATACAGAATTTATAAAAAAAAGAACTTTAATGTAAGGCACTATTGTCCAAAGTTAAATGAGTGATGACAGCCCCACACAATGCCCTCTTGCTCTTCTACTTCTCAAACAGTACGCCTGTCCCAGCACAGGCGGAAGAATGCAGAGCCTACTCAGTCTGCAGTTTTACATGACAGTTCCTCAGTGATGGGATTACTTCCCAAAGCACTGTCTCTCCTTAAAACAAAAAATTACTATCTTATACTAATAACAGAAGAACTAATGATCATAAGAGAAAAAAAATAACCCTGAAAACTATACCGGCTGATCTGTTAAGTCCTCATAATAAGAAAGGATAAAGTTACATGTTCCTGGTTCAAACTCTGCTTAATGAGAAGCTAAGAGTTACATGCATAAATGGGTTCAAGGATCAAACTTCTGTTTGCCACATGATTCAAACACACTCAACTGATTTCACCTCAAAGGCACTACAACACATTCTTAAGAATGTCTTCATTTACTTTCATTAAATACATTTGACATTAGAACCTTGGGAAAACAGGATTCTTGACTTAATCAGAAGCCTATAATTTGTTTTAAACAAAAACGGTACCTTTTTAGTATTAAAGAGCTCATCTACTTTTTTTGCAGTAATTTTGTTGGATAACCATTTCTTCTGTGTTAAGACATCTAAAGACATTTTTCCAAGTTCTTAACCAAAGATTCTTTTAAAGGGAATTAAAACTTAAATAGTTCACGTGTTGTTTATATGCATTACACAAAACAATCCACTCAGGGTTTTAACAGTTTTAAAAAATGAATTGCAGTACAGCTGAACAATGAATGGGGTGGTTCTGATAGGGTATTATTTTGACATTTTGGTCTCAGAAGGTGTTTCCCCAGTGTCCAAAGTCTTCAACAACCGGAAAAGGCCAGCAGCTTCGCGTATCCTACTGAACTCAATACAGAATGCCTGCACTTCTATAAACAAGTCCTGCACATTAATAATTTTGTTACGGATCAGGGATTGGAGAAAGACACACACAAGACGCACCAAACGATTCTGAAAAAGAGAAAAATTTTAGTGTGCCCATTTTCTTGGCAGATAATTTATAAAATTTACTACAATTTCTATTTCTTACCTGCATATATTTATCCTTAATTTGTTCACAGGTAGAGATGCAATTTGATATATAAAGGTGAATAAATTCAGGAGGTAGATCAACAGCTGTTGTCAGTCTGTTTCATAAAGTTAGAAAATTAGGGCTATTCATTATATTTGCTAACATTAAGAAACATTGTTAACCATAAAATACAAAGTTTCCTTTGGTCATTTAGTGCAAACTTCTGATATATGACCAATTACCTAGTTGTAGTCTACAGCCATACCACCCTGAACGCGCCTGATCTCGTCTGATCTTGGAAGCTAAGCAGGGTTGGACCTGTTTAGTACTTGGATGGGAGACCAATTACCTAGTTTTAAATATACTTATGCAAATAAGCCTAAGAGCCACATCCATTTGTTAACAAATGACACTTCCAATTTTTATCCATGCAATTCTTTGAGCACAGTGTCCCTGTGTATTCTTGAATCATAATTGGGAGTTCTTATCTCCCAAGCTCTAATAGCCTTGGCAATGACTGTTCATTTATTAAACCCTAACTACATGTAAGTGCTATACAAAGCAGCAGTGCATCTGAAGGAGGTGTAAGTTTACTGACTAAATGGCATAATATGTAACTAAATGCTAAAATGAGGCACTTGCAAAGAATAATAGTGTATGAAAAGTGTTGGGAAAAATCTTAAAAGGGCAAAGAACTTAAATTGACAGCTCAGAAGAGAAGTATAGGGTATGAGTAAAGCTTGGAATCAGGGATTAGCACACCACCTTCAGGAGTATGGTGGGCAAAACCTGGCTGGAAGTTAACAAAAGGCATGGCATGCTGGCAGATCAGTTTAGAATCCCAAAAGGGGAAGGCTGGTATTTTTCAAAGGATTCTATGAAATATTTTAAGAAGAAACAAAAAAGATGAAGTGGGAATTCCATGTTCATTTAAAGGTATGCATGCTAACTATACAGTATGAATTTCCAAAAGAAACTAAACTTTGTGTCTAGAACTTTATCCCATAAGTCACTAATGAACTAGTGTTCCAAGGAAACACTGCCATAGGCTGCTGTGGTCACAGTTGTTTCACAATTCTAGCCGATGCTCTATGATTGGGTGGGGGTGGGAGGCAAAAAGAGCAGAAGTTGTCCATAATGAAACTATTGATAGGAAGACATAGTTATTCTTGGCTAAGTGCCAAATGTCTGGTAGATAATAGCTCCTACAAGAAGGTGGTGAAGTGGAAGAAGTAAGCTGTTAAGAGTTCTCTCAAACCCAAAGGATTTGACAGAATGCAGCCCCTAAAAGAGTAAGTCTTAACAGTAGGGGAAGAGTCTTGAACAAGGACAAGACAGAAATGTAGCATGTATTAAATGAGCAGCTAACCAGTTTTGCCAGTGACAAAAAAATAAAGTTGAAAAGCTCATGCTTCTTTTCCCACTCCAGAAAGGATGCACTCTCTTATATTTGGGATCACCTGTCTTCAGCTAGGGTTTTTCACCAGTTGATTAACTTGAAAGGATATACTTTGTAGTACAACTTCAAGTAGGTTATAAAAAGTAAACAGATGACAGAAAGTTTGTTCTAATTGAAGCTCAGTTGCTTGGCATTCAGAATGGATTTCCCCATGCAGCAGAAAGACCATCCAAATATAATTTAGCACCCCAAACAGGACACCACATGAAAGGAAGCCAAGAGAAGCCTAATTTGGGATTACTCAGACAAACCTGTACGTATGGCTACCCTATAAACAGCTTCATAAAATAGTAGGCTACCAGGCTAACCCCCACAAGCCTATTATATCCATAATTTACCTAAAATGTATTTTTAAGGAAAATAGTATAAAATGGGAAGACACTACAGAGAACATCAGAAAGGGAACGTATTATATTCTTCTGACAGTCAATGACAACAGAGTAAGGAGAGTCAGAGGTTGGGAGAACAGAGCAACGACTTCTAGGATGACATTTCCAGAATTCTTGCAGCTCCTAAAACCCGTAGTCGCTAACAAAAAATAATGTAACATCTATTTGTAGAGAGGTAGAGAATATACAACTATATAGAAAAAAATTTCAGCAACTGTGTCTATTAATGCTAAATATTTGAAGTCCTACCTACCTTCTGGGTTCTTTCCTGTGAATGCTAAATTCACATGTGAACACTAAGGCTCGGATTATTTATTTAATGCATTTTCTCAAGCTAACGAGATCAAAAAGTATTGTTGCTAGTTTTTCTCTCCTAGTCATGCAATCAGGATCTACATACCCCCACATTTGGTTATGTGTAGGAACTTACCGATTTACAACTTCCATGGAATGCAAAGACATATCCATATTGACCAGGACTGAAAAATATTCGGTGATCTGGCTTGACTGCATTAACTTCAGCAACATTTCTATGGCGACTAGAGGGTTATTTTCCACCAGGTCAGGAAGTTTGGCTGGAGTGAGGCCAATATGATAAACAAGTTTGGGGTCTTTTTCCAACTCACCAAGGAGCTAACACAATCAAATTTTTAAAAAGAGAAAGAGGTTCTTTAGTCAAAGTAGACATTCTGTTTCCTGCATTAAAAAAATGTGTATTTTACACAAAAAGCTATAAAACTACCTGCATTGAACCAACTTCATAAATTTCCCTGAAACCCATGTTCATAACAACTTGACATTTTTCAATTTACATTTGAATTATAAAAATATTAAAATATGAACACTTTTATGACAGTTTATAAATATTCCAGTGATGCCTCCTGGGCATTAAACCAGACTCAATATTGTCCAGTTGAATAAAATACTGTCTGGATTGTAACAACACTGTCCTTAAGTCCTTTGTGGGTTTCTTTTTCTGTCATATGATATAGCCAAAAATAACTTTAATTACCAAGTAGTTTTTCCAAAAAGCACAGACCCTAGAGAACTGAGAAGCATCTGAAACAATAGTAGAGCCCAGCTCCAGGTTGGGAAGAGAAATTCCTGAGAATGAAGCAGGATGGGAAGAGTGAGATCTGTACTACATACAACCCATCTGTTTGCAGTATTTATGGTTCAAGTCACATTCACACTGTGTAATTCAATGAGATGTCCTCAAAAACAATTATTCCCACCAAATAATTACTTTTTCTTTAAAACTTTCTATGTTCTTTTCCCTATCTACTTACATGTACCACAGTGGACTATGTTTTAGGATGGCCTAATAAGTAAAGTGAACTACAAACAGCCCTTTACTTGGCTTTGAAAATAATATTTTTGGTGGTAAACTGCACTGGAGATGTCAACATCTCCTGACAAGTTCTAATATGAAAGCATGCAATCTGAATAAAACTCACCAACCAGAAACCACATACAGGGTGTCCTTGTCTTTTCCAAGAGGAGTCTTCTAATTAGGCTGCAAGGACTAGTTTACCTTACCTGAGCCTTTTACTTATTTGAAAATGTTAATAAATCCACTTACCCTCAGGAGTTACTGTCCAGTTTCAACATAACAATGTACATAATATGTCTAGCTGACAGAGAACATGAGCAAAATGCCAAAAAAGAGACCCATCCTATCCCTCCTTCCAGAGTCAAACTGATCCCAAACAAATATTGGTACATGTTTAGTCCTCAGACTTCTTGCCCCACCACAATGGGAAGGGCAGATGAGAGTTTCAGATATCCCAAAACTCTGGGATATCTGAATAATGACCTACTGTTGGCTCCTGTTAACAGTATCATTTTATTGGTCATTTATCATGTTATGAAAAACAAAAATGCTTGATGGATTAAAGAAAAGGTTTACCTGTGTTTGTTGAGGAGAAGATAGGGGGCTTTTGAAAGCTTTGGCCATTATTCGCTTGATCTCTACACCCGTGCTATTCTTAACACACATTGACTTATCCCACTGAATCAAATGGTCAGGCTCGGTTGGATTTAGCCATGCCAGCTCATCCTCACAAACATGGAGTGGAGGTGGTGGACGAATAAACTCTGGCCGAAAATGGCCTATAAAGGAGAAGAGTAGAAACGTGACTGCTTCTCTCAGCAAGCTAACACCTATACACATCTGTGTACATTTCACTTAATGAAGTACACTAGCACCCTTTTCTAATAAGGATGACATGATAAAACAAAGATTTCAAAACCAGAAGCACAAGGCATATAGAAAATCAGGGTTTTGTTTGCAATACAAAGAAGAAAATGAAACACTAACAGAATATTATTATGCCAGAGACCAAATCTGTGTATTTTTGGAGAAGAGGGGAATGCATTACCATGATCTGACAGTTTTCCACTCAAGCATGATTACCACTCAACAGCAAAAGTACACAACCTACTTGGTAAAAATCTTTTCATGGGAAAAATGAAATACTACTAGATTTCACTCATCTTATTCTTAGTTACCACTATTTTATTCAGAGACCACTATGATTTGTATTAGTTCTAGCTCCGCATCTTACAACCTCGAAGTGGCAAATTACATGGGGATCAAAAGACAGGGGGGAAAAAAAGTATTGGTAGACTGGACATTTTCAAATAAATCTGAGGACTTCAATAAATTCATAAATACCACATTTATTTTCATAAAGCCATGAAAGTACAACAGGAAAATAAAGTTACTCAACACCTCAACTATTTCATAAACAAGATTGATTACTAAGTTAGAAATCCACTAAAATAAATGCTGGCTTGGACTTCTGCTACACAAGTTTCACACCTCTGGTTTCTACATAGGGCCTAAGATGACTTGTTTCTATCATGGATCCTAGCTCCTGCCAAATTTGAGATATACTCTATTGAAAATGTCTAGCTAAGAATTAATACCTTAGTTTAAACTGCACCATCTCTTCTCCTACATCACCAGAAATAGCACCTGAATCTTTTCTATGTGCACCTCTTTATATTGGGTTGGCCAAAAAGTTTGTTCAGTTTTCCCCATAGCTGACGCTAGCAGTGCTTAGTTGTCTAACTTCATTTGAAACAATTTTTGCTGGATTGTATTGTCACAGGTGTATCAGTGTGCATTAAAAAAAAACACCAAAAAAACCTTATCAAGTCCTGGCTGGTATGGCTCAAAGGACTGAGTGGTCTGTGACTAAAAGGATCACAGGTTCGCTTCCCAGTCAGGGCACATGCCTGGGTTGTGGGCCAGGTTCCCAGTAGTGGGTGCACAAGAGGTAACCACACATTGATGTTGCACTCCCTCTCATTTACCCTCCCTTCCCTTCTCTCTAAAAATAAAGTAAAACTTAAAAAAATGAAAATAAAAAAATAAAGTTTACCGAAATTAGGGACATTTTGTATAGCCATTTTAATATTGAAGATGGAAGAAAGTAAGCAACCTTTTTGGCATATATGTTTTATTATTTCAAGAAAGGTAAAAATGCAACTGAAATGCCAAAAAAAAAAAAAAAAAGATTTGTGCTGTGTATGAAGGTGCCGTGACTGACTGACTGTGTCAAAAGTGGTTTCCGTAGTTTCGTGCTGGAGCTTTCTTCCTTGACGATGCTCTACCCTACATTGGGGTGGACCAGCTGAAGTTGATAGCAATCAAACCGACATTAATTAAAAACAATCAACATTATACTACGCAGGAAACAGTGAACATACTCAAAATTTTCAACAAGCTTTGAAAATCTTTTGCACCAGCTTGGTTATGTTAATCATTTTGATGTTTGGGTTCCACGTAAGTTAACTAAAACAAAAACTTCTTGACCATATTTCCACATGTGATTCTCTACTTAAACATAACTAAAAAGAATGTTCTGCTTTTAAAGATTTTATTTATTTTTACAGAGAGGGGAAGGGAGGGAGAAAGAAAGGGAGAGAAACATTGATCGGCTGCCTTTTGCACACCGCCAACTGGGGACCTGGCCTGCAATGCAAGCATGTACCCTGACCAGGAATCGAACTGGGCACTCAACCCATTGAGTCACACCAGCCAGGGTGAAAACATTTCATTTTGAAAACAAATTATGACAGGCAATGAAAAGTGGATACTTTACAATAACGTGGAACAAAAGAGATCATGGGATAAGCAAAATGAACCACCACCAACCACACCGAAGGCCAGTCTTCATCCAAAGAAGGTAACGTGTATATGGTGGGATCGGAAGGGAATCCTCTAGTATGAGCTCCTTCCAGAAAACCAAACGCATAATTCCAACAAATACTGCTCCCAGTTAGACTAACTGAAAGCAGCACTCAAGGAAAAGTGTCCAGATTTAGTCAACCAAAACTTGCCATCAGGAAAATGCAAAACCACACGTTTCTCTGATGACCAGGCAAAAACTGTTACAGCTTGGCTTGGAAGTTCTGATTCATCCGTCATATTCACCAGACACTGCACCTTCAGATTTCCATTTATTTCGGTCTTTACAAAATTCTCTTAATGAAAAAATTTCAATTCCCTGGAGGACTGCAAAAGGCAACTGAACATTTCTTTACTCAAAAAATAAAAAGTTTTGGGAGGATGGAATTATGAAGTTTCCTGAAGGCAGTGGAACAAAATGGTGACTACATTGTTCAATAAAGTTATTGGTGAAAATGAAAAATGTCTTTTATTTTTATTTAAAACTAAATGGACTTTCTGGCCAACACAATATAATCAAATTCCCGTGAGGTAAGGATGCTGGGTATTTGTTTACTCACTTAATGTCTGATAGATTTGCTTTTCACACACACCTTCTGATGGCCCATGCAATCAACTGCACCTGAGCAAGTATTAAAACAGGTATGTGCTATGGACCTTCAGGTACACTTGTGACCAGCTGAGACAGCAATACTAAACCCATTTATGCCAAATATTTGCTATAAATGTCATAAAAACAAAGTAAGGTTTAAACTCACATTGATACTGTAATCTAGAGAACATGTTCTTAACCCTAAGCAGAAAGACAGTCACTAAAACCACATAGAAGCCTATAAAACCAAAAGATGCAGCTATAATATTTCAATATCAATAGATGTTTTTTGTTTAACATAAATTAGGAACTATAAGATCAGTAAAACTTTACAATGAAGAATAATAGTGATTAAATTAATAGAGAGGTATAAAACAGCTAATGAACTACAAAAATAGACTCATTTCAGTAAAATCAGAGAATTTACATCTTCAGATATGCTGATGACAGATACGTGACAAGAAATTTGGTATGTAATTTTATTAAAGAAGGTAGCATTTACTAAGCGTCTCCACTATGTTCCAGACACTATACTAAGAAATTTCTCATTAAATTCTAGTTTATGCAGCAATGAAAATAACAACGTTTCAGAAAACCATCTCAAGGGATGCTGATAAAATAAAATCAAGGGTATAAAAGATATACCTACTTTCAATAGGTGGCTTTGGTCCACTGACTAATGCTTCCGTGATCTGAGAGGCAACTGAGCTGTCAAATCCAGAATTAGAAGAATCTGGGTCTGGGTCACTGAGAATACTGGGGAAGCCAGCCTTACTTTGGGTTGGCAATTCAGACTGGCGTTCTGAAAAGGTTAAAAAAGGAGACATTTTAAAATTCAGGGCACCCCAGGGAGAGTGAAAAGACAAGTGACTAACTGAGTGACTATCTGCAACACAGAAGCAAAGGGCCAAATTCAGAATATGTATATATTTTTTCAAAACTCCTATAAATAAATTTTCATAAATAGGAAAATAGGCTAATCACTTCAATAAGCATTTTATTTTAAAAAAAAAAGCCTAAATGGGTAATACATATGACAAAAATGTTCAATCCGACTTCTGGCCAAGATGGAGGCATAGGTAGATACACTGTGCCTCCTCGCACAACCAAAAGAAGGATAACAACAAATTTAAAAACAAAAAAAACCCAGAACTGACAAAATCAAACTGTATGGAAGTCTGACAACCAAGGATTTAAGAAACATTCATCCAGACCTGTAGAAGGGGCCAGGACCAGAGGCATAGAGGATTCACAGCTAGGGGATGGCTGGCAGACTGGGTGAGGCAGCAGCTAGAGGACCAGGGCAGTCCCACATTTGGTATGGATAAACAAGGAGGAACAACTGGGGAACAAGACAGACCAGGCAACCCAGGGTTCCAGTAGGGGGAAAATAAAGCCTCAAAAACTCTGACTGTGGGGGTTGAGGAAGCAAAAGAAACTCCCAGCCTCACAGGAGAGCTCGCTGGAGAGATTCACAGGGTCTAGAACATACACAAAACCACCCACCAGGGAATCAGCACCAGAAGGGCCCAGTATGATTGTAGGTAGCAGGGAAAGGGACTGAAAACAGGCCGAGAGCTCCGAAAGTGGCATTGTTCCTTATCAGACCCCTCCCTCCCCCACTTACAGCTCCAGGACGAAGTGATGTGGGTTGCCCCACCCTGGCAAATACCTAAGACTCGGCCCCCTACTACATAACCGGCTAGCCGAGACAAAAAAAATATGGCCCAAATGAAAGAATAGATCAAAGCTCCAGAAAAAATACAACTACATGATGAAGAGATAGCCAACCTATCAGATGCACAGTTCAAAACACTGGTAATTAGGGTACTCACAGAATTGGTTGAGTATGGTCACAAAATAGAGGGAAAAGTGAAGGCTATGGAAAGTGAAACAAAGGAAAAGGTACAGGGAGCCAACAGTGAAGGGAAGGAACCGGGTCTCAAATCAACAGTTTGAATCAGAAGGAAGAAATAAACATTCAACCAGAATGGAATGAATAAACAATAATTCAAAAATATGAGGAGAGGCTTAGGAACTTCCAGGACAACTTGAAACGTTCCAATATCCAAATCATAGGGGTGCCAGAAGGACAAGAGGAGGAGCAAGAAATGGAAAACTTACTTGGAAACATAATGAAGGAGAGCTTCCCCAATCTGGCAAAGGAAATAGACTTCCAGGAAGTCCAGGAAGCTCAGAGAGTCCCAAAGAAGTTGGACCCAAGGAAGCACACACCAAGGTACATCATCATTACGTTACCCAAGATTAAAGATCAGGAGAGAATCTTAAAAGCAGCAAGAGAGACAGTTACCTACAAAGGAGTTCCCATAAGACTGTCAGCTGATTCTCAAGAGACCTTATAGGCAAGAAGGGGCTGGAAAGAAGTATTCCAAGGCATGAAAGGCAAGGACCTACATGCAAGATTGCTCTAACCAGTAAGGCTTTCATTTAGAATGGAAGGGTAGATCAAGTGCTTCTCAGATAACGTCAAATTAAAGGAGTTCATCATCTCCAAGCCCTTATTATATGAAATGTTAAAGGGATTTATCTACGAAAAAGAAAAGCAAAAATATGAACAGTAAAATGACAACAAACTCACAAATACCAACAACTGAACCTAAAAAAAAACAAACTAAGCAAACAACTAGAACAAGAACAGAATCACAGAAATGAAGATCACAAGGAGGGTTACCAGCAGGGAAGGGGAGGGGGGAAAAGGTACAGGGAATAAGTAGCATAAATGGTAGGTAGAAAATAGGGGGAGGTTAAGAACAGTGTAGGAAATGTAGAAAACAAAGAACTTGTACATACGACCCCTGGACATGAACTAAGGAAGGGTTAGGGGCAATGTGGGTGGGAAGGGGTGTGCATGGCGGAGGGGAATAAAGGGGGTGAAATGGGACAACTGTAATACCATAATAAAAAAATATACTTTAAAAAATGTTCAATCCCATTAGAAACCTGGGAAAAATCAGTTAAAACATAAGACACACCCAGTAGACTAGAAAAAAAATAACAAACCTGGCATTATCAAATGCAAAGGAGGTTGTCAGGTAACTTGCAGATTGCTATTGGGAATGAAAAGTGGCACAACTTTGGAAACCACTTTGCCATTAAAACCTTACACTTGCTTACCTTTCCATCTAGAAGAAATTTTGACATGCACACCAGGAGAATATATGAAAATCTTCATAGCGATGTTATGTCCATCAACAGTAGAGCAGATAAAGAATTTGGTATTCTACTATTTGGAATATATACTTATAACTCAGTATCAAAAACTAATCCAATTAAAAAATAGGCAAAAGTTCTGAATAGACATTTTTTCAAAGAAGACAAACAAATGCCATGAATAGGTGCTCCACATCACTAATCAGCAGAGAAATGCAAATCAAAATCCCTATGAAATGTTACCTCAGACTAGTCACAACGGCCATCATCGAAAAGACAAGATAATAATGCTGGCAAGGATGTACAGAAAAGGGAACCCTCACACACTGTTGGTGGGACTGTAAATTGGTAAAGCTACTATGCTATACATTAGGAAGGTTCCTCAAAAAGTTAAAAACGGAGCTGCCATGTAATTCAGCAATTCCACTTCTGGGTATTTATCCAAAGAAAACAAAAACAGCAATTAAAAAGATATATGCATCCCTATATTCATTACAGCATTATTTATAATAGCCAAGATATGAAAACAACCTAAATGTTCACCAATGGAAGGATAAAGAAAATGTGGTGTGTTTATCTATACATACCTGTGATCCATGGATCCCACTGTGAGATCTTAATTGCAGGCCTCTGCAGAGATGATCTAGCTCCACAGAAGATAGGTTAACTTGGTGGGGTTTGTTTGTTTTTTTTTGTAATTGTGAAATGAATGGCTTACAATATCTTTAATTTGGGTAGGGTATAGCAAGCAGCAAACTTAGCCACTCTGCCAAGCTTCTCAATCCCAACTCTAGTCATACATTCCTTTCTGAGCTTGACCTACTTTAAAACCTTCTCACAGGCTGACTCAAGCCATCAGGAGTTGAGAGGTCAGATTTGATTCTCACTTGGTGGAATACAAAGCTAGAACCCTCATATTGCTTCTGAAAGTTAAGGTGACTGAAATTGTCTGTCACCTTTGTGACCTATTTTCATACTACCTTTGGTTATAGAAATAATCATTTTATTTCTGTTAATAGACTGTGTGTGGAACCAATAGCTAATAAGTACTTCTGTGTACCTTTAATCTTAAAAGAAAAAGATTTCCCTTGCTTTCAAAAAATAACCACTGTCATATTGTTAATACCCCATAGTTAAAAAGCGAGATTCAGAATGCTGCAAGAAAAAAGCAGTTTACTGAAGGGTGTCACCTTTTATATAGCAGCCAAGTATTACAGGTGTGTTTAGTCTATGGATGGGGCAGTCAAAATTAATACTTCAGCTCATTTAATCACAGGGTCAAGGGTTCACAAATCTGGTTATATACTGGAATTTCCCTAATGAATCACTCTTAAGTGGTAAGACCCCAGCATCTGTATTTTTGCTCAGAGCAGGCAAGCAAAAGGTGCCTCTTCTTCCTTCATTCATTACAGAGGCTTTCTCTGACTAGCCAGTTCAAGAAGGTCCCCCTATTTTCTACCACAACACACTTTAGAGCACCCATTCATTTGCTTATATGTATAACACAGAATGTGCCAAAACAACTTTGAAACAGAAGAATAAAGTGGAGGTCTCACACTTCCTAATCTCAAAACTTACTACAAAGCTACCATAATTAAAAGTGTGATACTGCAATAAAGACAGATGCATAAATTGTGATACAAATCAGAGATGCCAGAAATAAACACTCCCATATATGGTCAAACGATTTTCAACAATGGTGCCAAGAGAACATTGTTTTGGCTATTCAGTATCCCTTGAGATTCCATATGAATTTTATGATTAGTTTTTCCATTTCTACAAAACATACTATTGGGATTTTGATGGGAATTGCATTGAATCTGAGTAGAACTGACGAGGAAATTAAAAAAAAAAATTTTAACAGACTAAATTTTATCCAGCATTCTTTTTAAATTGGAAAAGCAATCCATTTAAGTGAAAAGTCAAACTTACATGTCATATTAGCAAGAAGCTAATACTGAAGCTATGTTTTTCATGGAAAATACTAACACAGCAACAAACCTTCATTTTAAGTAGAGTTCCTTAAGAAAAAAAGGCTTAATACTACCACACAAGGATACCCAAACCACAAGTTCCTCCTTACCAGCCAAGGCTAGTTGAAGCCCGCTAATATCCACAGATTGGCCCATGTTTCCAATATCCATCAAGGCAATCTGTCGAGGTGTCTTTTTAAACAGTTCCCTTGGGGGTGCCAGCATTAGCTGGGAAAGAAAAAACTTCTCTGGTGGAGTTATAGGAGGTAAAAATCCTGCAAACAAAGATGTATAATGATTTGTCCATAGGTTATTTTTAAAAATTAATATGAATCTGGTAAAATTAGCATTTGCTACTTGCCATCTCAAGTTATACATTGTTGAAGACAAAATTATTTTAAGTTTCAGTTACCCAAATATATATATTTATGAAAATGTAATTAAATGTCATTTCAAATTCTATTATTTGTGTCAATATCAATAAAACTTAAAACTTTTATAATTATTAAGAACTTTGTTTTTAACATGCCTCAATTCCTGCAAGCAAAAACAAATTTAAACACTATGATCTCACCTTTAACTGGGACATAATCAACAAAAGAAAAAAGCAATCAAAATATAACCAGAGACATTGAAATTTAGAACAATCTAACAACAGCCAGAGGGGAGTGGGGAAGGGACAGTGGGGAGAAGGGTTTTCAGGAACTACTATAAAAAACACATGGACAAAACCAAGGGGGAGGGTGGAAGCAAGGGAGGGAGGTGGGTTTGGCTGGGGTCGGGGGGTAGTGGTGGGGAGAAAATGCAGACAAGTGTAACTGAACAACAATAAAGTAATTTTAAAAAACTACAACATTAAGAAATGGTTTTCTATTCTGCCGCTTTCAACAACTGTGTAGAGGTGGAAGAGACAAGGAAACATTCACTATCAATACAATTACACTTCACATATCTGCTTCACAATATCCAATGCAGCTACAAAATTCCCAGTGCTGAATGTTCCTTCCCTTTTGTTTGATATTCAATTGCTCACCAAGCCTCATCCATACTACCAAAGCAATGTTGCCAGATGCCATTCCCACATCACCATTCCATGTCCCCTCCTTTTGCCTGAACCACATTCAGGACAGCCTTCCTGGTTTCTTCAGCTCCCAATTTTGACTCCTGCCCCACCCACCACCCACAGGCCACACATTCCCCACTCCCATGTAACATTTAGTTACATTTCTAGGTATAAATTTGCTTCTATTACTTAACCTGTTTACACAGAAATAAATCCAAACTTCTGCCACCATTATAAAACCCTTTATAATCTGGTCCTGACCCACTTTCCTTAACTCATCTTTTGAATTCCCCTCTAATCCATGTACCCTTCACTCCAGCTGCAAATTCTCTCAACTTCTCCGATTCCAGATTTCTAAACATCTAATACACCCAGTTCTTTAAAACCTGGCACAGCCACACCTTTTCCTCCTACCACCATCTCCAACCATCTCCAATCAATATCCAGCAAAAAACATCACTCCCTTTGAGAATATCTTCATTTATACCCTGGTAGTTGTTCCTCTGTGCTATCAAGCATTTTGTATGTGATACCTGGCACAACCCTTACCACACTGTGTTATGACTATGTTTACATCTCCTTTACCAGCCTGTAAGCTTCTTGAGTACAAGGAAGCCTTTTTATTTACTTCCAGATATATTCTCAACCCTGGCTCAGCATCAAAATCATGTGAAAAACTTTTAAATACATACCTATTAGATGCTCACCCTAGGTGTACAATAACCTAAACCTTGGCATGGATATTCCATATATTGTATATTTAAGTACCATCCCTACCTAATTTAATGAAAGTAATGATGATAATGGTTAATGTTTATTCTTCATTAATGTCTACCAGCTAGAAATTATTGCCAAAATCTAAGGCACAGAAGAGAGAAAATAACCAATCCATGTACTCCTTCCCTGACAACTTTGTGTTTACAATGCTGTTTACCATCTAGATTTAGGTTTAGACTCATCAGATTTGAGAATGACATCATATAAAGCACAGTTCCTTTGTCTAACCAGTCTGAAGAATTCAAAGGACCATGTGACATAAATCCCACCCTGTCCCCATCCTCTTCTAAGGGCACCATAGGGTGGTGGGTTTTGACCACTCATACACAGAATGCATTCACTTTCTGGGCATTCTCAAACTTCCTGAAACCCTAGGGAATCTCAACCACCAGGAAGGTTCACCCTCTTAGCCAAGGGCAGCGAAGGAAACAAACTATTAAGATGCTCTAGATTCAGAGTGTTTCCAACAGGCTAGCTTAAAATGTAGAAGCCCTGCTGTGCTATGAAAAAACTCTGTGGTTTACCTTTTGACTGCCTGTATAAGTGGCCCCTACCTAGGAAGTGATTTGTCCTTTTTCCCATGCATTGAATACTATAAGATCAAGCCATTTCCCACCTCCAATTACCTGTTCCCCCACTACACTGGTCCTTATGTAAGTATTCCATGTAACCTCACAATCCCCCACTGTGCCTTTGTCCTTTCCTGGCTGCGAGTCTCATAAAGCATCTCAAGTTTAAATTAAAAAAAAAAAACACACACACAAAACAAAAACAAAAAGGCAGCCTCTCAACAACCCACTGATCCAATCTCAGAAATGTTGCACACAATGTTTAGTAATCATGCATTTTCTGACCTAGGCTATGAATTTGGAACAATATTCTACCCTCTGCTCCTATCCTATTATCCAAGCACACCTAACAGTCCAACGAAGGTAACTGCAAAATTTATAAACGCTGTTTTATGTGTTTCTGTTCAACAACTTCAGGTTCTTCAGGTTCCGAATAGTAGCCTCTGTTTACTCGTCTGAGACTTAAAACCAGGGACAGCGTCATTAGTTACAATTTCACACTCCGAGACAGGCTTTACAAAATTATAAACTATTTAATGTATTTAATGTATTAAAAAAGTCAAGCTTGGCTTTGTCAGAGTTCTTCCTGACCTGCTTCTTGTGGTATTTGTGTCTCAGTGCCCCTGATAGCAAGATGTCTTCAGGAAATGCTAAAATTGGGCACCCTGCCCCCAAATTAAAAACTACAGCTGTTATGCCAGATGGTCAGTTCAAAGATACCAACCTATCTGACCACAGAGGAAAATATGTGATGTTCTTCTTTTACCCTCTTTACCTTTGTGTGCCCCACAAAGATCATTGCTTTCAGTGATATGGCGGAAGAATTTAAGAAACTCAACTGCCAAGTGATTGGTGCTTCTTCACGTGATCCATGTCACCTGGCCTGGATCAACACACCCAGGAAACAAGGAGGACTGGGATCCATGAACATTCCCTTGGTGTCAGACTATTGCTCAGGACTATGGGGTCTTAAAGGCTGATGAAGGCATCTCATTCAGGGGCCTCTTTATCATTGGTGAAAAAGGTATCACTCACCAGACCACCATAAATGATCTTCCTGTTGGCCACTCTGTGGATGAAACTATCAGACTAGTTCGGTGACAAACATGGGAAGTGTGCCCAGTTGGCTGGAAATTTGGCAGTGATACCATCAAGCCTCCAGAAGAGCAGAGAATATTTCTCTAAGCAGAAGTGAGCACCAGGCCTTTATAGAGTCGTGGCGGCAGTGTACAGCCATGAGAACAAAACCTCTTTTGCAGTTGTCATGCTTAAAACACAAGATCTTAGATTTGGGCCAGATGTGGTATGGGACAAAACAGGCCTTTCCCGCAGGGTTTGGGGAGGCCAGCCTTTCTTTTTCCGGAGAAAATGGCCTGAACGTATGGAGCAGGTCAACTGACGTGTATGGTAGTGGGGCATCACCTTTTATTTTATGTAGTTTCTATTAAAACTTGAACTGAGAAAACAAAAACAAAATGTCAAGCTCCATACAGTGCTTCATGACTTGACAGCCTGTACTACTGAGAAGATTATTTTTGGTACCATCAATTTGTAGTTAAGCTGTCACTTACCCATACTTCAAAGTTGGAGGCGGAGGAAATCGTTTCAGATTTCATTTCACTTCCAGGTGGAAAGCGGACGAATCTAACTACCCACAACACACCCCCTGGCTTCGGACGCCCGCTGGACGCACCTGAGAGCGGCGGCCGGTCGGGCTCCTGGCCGCCGCGGGCCGGCGGCGCGGGATTGAGCAGGTGCGCAAAACTGGCAGCGAAGGGATTGGCGGCGAGCGGCTCGGTGCGGTACATCTCCCAGAGCAGGTAGAGCGCCGTGAGCCGCTGCGCCGCGCTGGGCAGCAGATCCGGCTGCTGCAACAGCATGACTAGCACCGAGCCCAAGCGGAAGTGGTCGGCCTTACTGAAATAGTGGTGGAAGGCGGTGGACAGGCCCTCGAAGGTGCTGCCGCCGCCCGCCTCCTCAGAGATGATGCTCAGCAGGCTCGAAAGCTCCTTCGGGGTCAAGCTCATCCTGCCCGCGAAGCCCACCAGGCCTGTATTCCCAGTCCTGGAGGCGTCCGCTGCGCCTCTGCCACCGCTGCTGGAGCCCTTCGGGCCGCCCCTAGACGCCGACGGCGCAGCTTCCGGGACCACCCTTTGTTCCTCTTTGATGAAAAGCCGGCCAGACACCACACTTGACCCCACGCCGGGCATCAAACCCGCTCACCCTCAATGCTTCTCGGAGGGTGTGGCCTTGGTGACGACTGGCTCCGCCTCCGCGACCGTAAAGTGTGGTGTTACGCGACAGAGTCGCAAACGAAACTCGACGAAGGAGCGGGACCGCCGCAAAAAAGATGGGTGGCTCTAAGCAAAACCAAGGCTGGTGGAGTAAGGTCCGTGAGGGATCGGGAGCCACAGGGTGGGCGGAATTAAGAGACCGGAAGTGGGGCGAGGACTACCCGGCAGTCTCAAGCTTCGGAGGTGTGGTAGCTTGGCCACGAGATTTGGGCCAGGTCTACACTGGGGTTAATGGACTCTCAGTCCCTGGAAATATGGGCTACGTTGTTCGGAGAAATGCATCGCGGATTCTAAATAGTTTAATATAACACGTGACTTTTCAAGACGAAAAAAACAGCTATAGTGCAAATAACTAAACACATCACACATTACCCAAGTAACTTTACAGTCTTACACTCCTTTTTTGCAGAAATGGAATCACACTGCATGACAGCTTTTATACATGGTCACTGTGGAGAACAGGACCAATAAAATGACATTATGTGGTCAAAATAGCATAAAGTACATAAAACAAAATGGAGTCAGTCATGACACTATGGTTCAAGAGAGGAAACTACCCAAGTCATGCTGGACACATCTGGCAAGGAGACATACCCAGGATACCTGCATGTGTGATCAGAAGAGCCATATCTGCAGGATGGGACCACCCACAGAGTTTCCTCCTGGGGAAATGCCCCACTTACTATCAGGGTTGCCGAGACACCCATCAGGAGACCCAGAAGGGTACAGTATGCCACTCTCAAAGGTATGACTGAAGCAGGCTCAAGACCATTGCTGAGACAGCTGAGCTCCACACACCAGAGTGCTACTCCCTGCCACAGTGATCTCCCTTGGCATCAGCTGCAGCAGGCTCTGCCCTGTTGGACTGAGGACTTCATCTGCTCTGCTGCCCATCTGGCCCTGGAAATCCTTTCTTGCCAAACATTGATGGGTCCCTTGCTCACCCATTGGGTCTCCAGGACCCACAGACTCAAAGAAACTCTGGGACTCAGGTTTGTTATCCCCCAATTCTCTCATGTGATGTTATTACTGATTGTTTCTGAGTGACTAGTATTGTTAGTAGGTTAATAATAGTTTTGAATCAAATCTGCATTTATAAAATCTGAGAGAATCTACGTTAATAAGACCCAAATGAATAACATAGTCACCTGTGTTGGCTCCCTGTTATTTCTTGGTGCTGGTATTGTAACAGGTACAGCCAGCCCCGCCCCCCCCCCGACCCAGAAAGAGATTTGTAATGGGGTCCAGAATTTGGGGTGTCCAGGAAATATTAAAAATATAGGATGTCCTCACCCCCACAAATCTAAACTTCGGGATGGGACACATGGGACAGGGCCATTGAGAGTTATTTCTCATATCAACAGTTTTGCAAATAACTGCAAGAATGGTCATTTAACGAATCTATAATTTTGACTGGTTTCATAAGATAAGTTGAGTAGCTGTGTCCATGCTTTGAGCCAGGGAGAGAACATAACTGGGAAACAACTCCCCCTGATTAAAGCGCCTGCCTGAGAGCTTGGAGATTGTTGGCTCCACGCCATGGGGCCAGGCTTGCCCAAGCTTATGGCAGACCAGAAAAGCTAGGAAAGTACAGAATGCTGGCAGGTGTAGCCGGTTGTGGTAGGAGTTGGATATGGGGTACAGAGGAAAATTCGCACCAGGATTTAAAAACAGGCACAGCAGTGATGCCGGAGAACCATGCAGTCTTGAGGTTGGGGGAAACATGAGGTTTTGGGCAGAACCACACGGTTTTGGGGCTCCCTTTGCCACACAGTTTAGGAGGCTGGAAAGCAAGATGTAGCAGTGATTTACAGGGATCATCACAAGCTCTCTCTTGGCAGTTTGGGAGAATGCAGGAAAGATGTTGCGGGAAGGAAAGGGATGAAAGGACTCTTGGCTGCTGAGCCATGAGAAGGTGCCACTTGGGTTTGGATTAAGAACTGGAGATCCCAACGACATGGCTGGTGGTGCTGGGAACCGTGGGAGGCTTGCCAGCTGAGCACAGATTACTGAGAAGAACTGGAAGCTACTTGAGCAACAGACTTCTATTTCTTTCCCTGAGATACAGTACCCCTGACTGGGCAAAGTGGGGAAGGAACTGTGGGGAACTGTGTGTGATTGTGGGTGTTTTAAGGGACTTTGGGATTTTAACGAAGACATTAAGTCATTACTCTAAGCCTGTCTAACTTATAAATAAGTAATCCCTTTCCTTTTCACCAACCTCTGACATTGAGAGCCGTAATTCCCTGGCACAGAACGTGAACCTAGTAAAGGGGGACCCTAGAAGAGGGGGGTCCATTCAGTAATAGTATCTTGTCCCCCACTATGGGTCTGTTCTGTAACAGTGTCACCTACAGGACTAATGGTCCTACAGGTGTGCTCTGTGCTTTTGGTTCTTAAGGTCTAGATCAGACAATCTGAGCGGGGACCAAAGGCTGACTTACAGGAAAGACTGTATTATGAACATATGCTCATAACAGTCATTTTAACAAGATTTCAAAGGAATGTTTTCAATAAATATTCATTTCTAGCCCTGGCTGGTATAGCTCAGTAGGTTGAGCACAGGACTATGAACCAAAGGGTCATCAGTTTGGTTCCCAGCTGGGGCACATGCCTGGGTTGTAGGACAGGTCCCCGGTACGGGGCAAGCAAGAGGCAACTGCACATTAATGTTTCTCTCCCTTTCTCTTTCCCTTCTCCTCTCTCTGAAAATAAATAAGTAAAATCTTATAAACAAAGAAAAAATATATTCATTTCCAAAATTGGTGTGCAACTTTTTACTTAGCCTGCCCTAGGACACTAATTTCTGGATCTTGGTTGCGCATTGAGGGCCCTGGGGTGTCCTAGTGACTGTTCCCACTCCCATAGATGATGACTCAGGTATTAGAGAATAAAAACCAAAACTCCTCCCCAAGTGACTCTAGGGTGCACTCTGGGCTGAGAACACCCAGTGGCGTTTCTCAGACTTACCCATCTCCTCTCTAGACCTAAAAAACGTATAGGCATTTCACTCACCAGTGATTCATTCCCATCAGGCAAGCTTTGGAAATCCAATCTTCATTACACAATGCTAGCAGCTCAGTAATTTCCAAGTTAAGTGCCACCTTAATTCTAAAGTAAAATTAAAGGTATAGAAATTGCTGAGTCATCAGGTATGCATATTTGGAAGGCTTTTTCAAATTCTTGCTGGATTGCCCTCTAGAAAGGTCTTGCTAATTACCATTCATAACAGCAGCTGTTAAAAAATTCAACCAAGTAAATCTGAGGATCTACTTGGCTTTTTTGAAAGATTCATAAATCTGGCAGCATCCCAGCTAGTATATAATAAGAGAGATGCTCCTAGGACCTGTTAAAGGTTTAAAGGTTTTTCTAGGAAAGTGAGTGGGGCAAGAAAGTAAAAAACTTTATTAGCAGAAGTAAAAAAAAAAAAAGATTGTTTTAGGCAAGTTCACCTGCCTTTGAAGGAAAGGTAACAGGTCTTATCAGGCAGATTACCTCACTAGTGTTGATCAGGAAATTCCAGACTGATTGGCTCTAGATCACATCCCTGAGCCCACATGTGTAGATTTTACTGTTTATTTTTTAAAGATACTTCAGAATATTTGAACATTATGTGATTTCTCAGAGTGTGCAAAAACCAAGAAAACCCCAGGCCCAAAATGGTGTCACTCATGCTAAAAGCCCATGATGCCAAACCTTGATTTAATATTTAACATAACTGCTACTTCAACTCTTCCAGAAATGCAATTTTAATCTATCAGTAGGACTATTCTGGTCAAGCACCAGTAAGGTCTATCACTCAGCCCTCTCCATTGCCCCATGGAAAGAAGAGGCAATCTGCATGATAAAAACTATTCCCACTCTCTTCCCCTGCAGAAAGACATACTGCCCAAAAATAAACCTTTCTTTTCTTAATCATTCCCTTGCCCCACCTTGCTTCCTATAAAAAACCTTCCATTTTATATTGCACTTCAGAATTCCCCTTTAGTTGCTAGATGGGATGTTCCCTCAATTCATGAATCACTTAATAAAGCCTATTAGATCTTCACATTTACTCAGTTGAATGTTGTTTTTTAACAAACATTTTCAAAATTTAGATGGTATCCAGAGCTTCCTACATATTCCCTGAAAACAATTCTCAGTCTCTGAATTAATTTCCTGGTAACCACAAACTGAGTGGCTTAACACAACAGAAATTTGTTGTCTCATGGTTCTGGAGGCTAAAAGTCTGAAATGAAGGTGTCAGGAGAGCCATGCTCCCTCTAAAGGTTCTAGAGAAGAATCCCCTCTTGTCTTCTAGCTTCTGTTGGTTGCCAGCCATCTCTGATATCCCTTGGCTTATAGCTGCACCATTCCAATCTCTGCCTTTGCAGCACATAGCCTCCTTCCCATTGTGTCTATGTTTCATGTGACCTTCTTATGAGGACACTAGTCATTGGATTTAGGGCCCACCCTAATCCAATATGACCTCTTCTTAACTAATTATGCCTGAAAATAACCCCATTTCCAAATAAGGTCACACTCTGTGGTTCCAGGTGGGCATGAATTTTGGGAAAACACTATTTAACCTAGTAGAGGCCCTAAGCTCTCCTGAGCATATGTCTTAGTAGTTCACACCCACCTCTTCTGTGCCCTTAGATTTGTTAACCTACAAATAAAAGGCCAAGTGAGAGGCAACAGCATTTATTTGAGATCAAAAGAACATCTATCTGGGAAGCACTGATTCAGTCAGAAACTCAAATGGTGTTCTGATTAGGAGATTCAGTAGAGAAGGCAAGGGTTATTTATAGAAAGGGAAGGAGAACAATTACATCAGTGAATGAAGGTTTTTCTATAGGTGCAAGTAAGATAACATAGTAATGTTAATTCTAAAGAATGTTTTTAATTTTCAGCCCCATAGGTAGTAATCACTCCAGTAGTCATAAATGGTTTCTTGTTACCTTTGTAAA